AAAAAATACATTAATGAAAGTACTTCCCATCACTTGTAAAACGCTACGAATTAATTCCAACACCTAATAGATATTTTTGTATTTCAGATTGTAGATCCGGAAAAAATGTTATATGACGGATAGATTATATATTTATATATAATTATATTATATATAAAATATGTCAATTTTATATATAATTATATATAATTGTATATGAAACATTTTTCCCGAGTATATATGGTGTTGTTAGATAGATTGTTGATTTCTTAACAATTATTTAACAATGCATGTAAACGTAAATTAATTAAAAATACAAATATATCAACGTAGTAAACTATTATATAATTGTGTACATGTGCTCTAGCACCATATATTTATAAACATGCAAGAACAATTATTGCATTCTGATTATATAAAACTACTATGTCATTCTTTTTTTATGTATTTATCAGATAAGAATATTATAAACATTGACGTAATATCTAGATTGTGCATTCTTACTAAGTTGTTATATAATTTAGAAAGAGAGAGAGGTAATTAGATACATATTGCGCTCTCTCTCTCTCTCTCTCTCTCTCTCTCTCTCACTCAAATATGGCGATAATTACATAAAAATTAAATTGCTCTTTTTATTGCTTTCTTTATTGCGCTTCCCACTCAAAGCGAATTAAAGAGAGATACTAATAAGATTTAATTGCGATCTCTTTCTAACAGATTGAAGATACTAAGACCAATTAAGACAGAGAACGCAATCCACATCTATTACATTTATTAGAAAATCTAGCATAATTTATATCAGAAAATATTAATGGTTACAATTTTTATGAAATGAAGCTGAAACCATTGTACTTTTACATTTTATTTCATAACGTAATACAAAAATTGATTATGCTATATAATGATAGTATTCGGAAATTTTTCTCTTTTTTGAAGAGATCTTTCGAAATATAAAAAAATTAATAATGTTGTAAACAATAATATTTTATTTAAACAATTAATATTTTTGGTTCTTTCCGTACTTTCCTTGTTAGTTATTTCAGCGTTTTTCTTGTTGATACTTTGTGACAAAAGCCTTCCATTGTTCAGGTTTATTTTTTTTATACCAATCCTGTATTAAATTCATCATTTCTTTTTGTCTTTCGGTACATTTCTCACATTTAGATCGAAAAGCTTCTACAATAATCTCTGAAATCAATAAAAAAAAAATTTTTAACCGAATTCTTGACATGTCATATTAAAAAAGTCACTGTCAGATTGTTAAAATATCAGAGTGATACACATTATTATTTTGAGCAGTATATGTCATAAATAGCAATGAGATGCAAAAAAAATTACAATGAGATGCAATTTTTATTATATTTGTATAACAATATCATAATGATATCATACTTAGCAAAATCCTCAAGTAGAACATCAGTCATTATGACATCAAAATGATACCAAAATAATAATTAAAAGTCACTTTTCAATCATTTACGATTTATTATAACATCAGTTTAATGTCAAGATGATTTGTTGTTTTGCTTGATTGAACATTCGCACGTCACTACTTTATTGTAATTTTGTAATATTTTATTGTAATATTGTAACTTTTTTTGCTATAGAGATTTTAACCTTTAGATTCTCTTATTCTCGCTTCTGTTAGCAAAATTTTGCGCGTCACATATATCGGTAAAATACATGCTGCATGCGCCTGTCGTTTCAATTGTTACTGTTATTTCACTTTTTAATCGTAGAATTAACTAGAAGTTGAAACTAAGTAAAATTATGATTGAAAACCATCTCATTACAATGTAATTCTTTAATAGAAGTGTAAAAAACGAATGATCCCATAATGACAAGTGGAGAAAAAATAAAGGGGAGAAAAGGTTAATTTATAATAAACATAAAATTCTCTTTTTCCCCTTTCCTTCCGTCTTTTCTTCTTTCTTTCTTTCTTTTTTATAACAAACTTTTTTACAATTAATAAGTATGAATATAAAATTGAAATTGAAGCAAAGAATATTTAGTGAATCAATTGCAAAAAATGATTTTACAAAAAATAATATTGAACATTTTCTCCATCATATTTTTAAGAAATGAGAATATTTATTATGAAATCAATGATACAAAATATTTTGATGGTTTCAAATTATATTATATATAATATTCCTTTTGCATATCTATTAATCTATTTCTACATCTAATATACGTTACATTTAAATAATACAATCTTTGAACAATATTTAGGGTTCGGGGGGGATGTTATTAGCATTATTTGTATTCTATCCTCGTTTTATATGGAATGAAAATTAAAAGTAAAGTGACACAAATAGCACTAAATAGCGTCTCTCTGATGCACTTTTAGTGTCAGTTATTAAGAAAAACTTAAAGTATGTTAATATTTCAATTCTCGCAATTTTCAAATTTCTTAATTACATATCTTTTTGATTGAGTATATTTTCCCAAGTGAAAATATGTTCTTTCGAAATTAACTGCGAAATACTATTTTGGTTATTTTTTTGCCAGAAGTTTCTTACTTATACAATCATAAATTATTCTGTAACTACATGTATATTGTTGAGGAATATTTAATTTCTAATTGATTACTCTTTCACCTGGAGGTGATCATGACGGATTGATCATCTAGAAGATCCCAAAAAGGTATGAGACTTTATATTCCTAAAGTCTTTTTTTAAAAATGGGATTTAAACTGTCCAAAATTTAAAATATTCTTTTTGCACTTTCAACCGCGTGTTGTTCCTTGGATGTCAGCCTTTGCGATTTTTTTAAATATGTTAAAATAAAAACTTTAAAAATCCTGCATTCCATATTCTATAATGTTTAAAGTATGTTCAGTAATTTATGTGATTTTAAAGAAATAAAGCTGTAAATATGGCAATCAATTAAAATATTGGGATTATTTTGCCCTCTGTGTGACCAACGTAAAATTTTCAAGAGATGTGACTACGAAGGGTTAAAGAGTCTATGAGTTAAAGAGTCTCGTGAAAATTTGTTCGTTGAAATCATGTATGTATACCTTTAAAGAATTTTGCATCTGCCGTTATGCATGGCGCCTTTTCCATAAAACAATTATAGTATTGATCTCGCAATCTATTATTTTGAAGAATATTTTCTGCGTTAACTTTGTCATACCGATCGGAGTACAATTCTTGCGCTAAAACACAAATCAGTGTAATAACAATGATCGTCACGACGTAGTTTAATCGAGCCATCGTTTCTTCTGTTTTCACATTAACTTATGAGATACTGATTGAATGTGCATTTTATTTATACATTTAGCACTAGATAAAAAATTATCATATGTAAGATAATGAATACACATGGTATTATAAACAGAATGTATCTGATTATAAATAAAAAAATGAGCTGTGGTTATTTCTAAGTAATCAATGCACTGATCTCGCAATCTATTATTTTGAAGGATATCTTCTGCGACAACTTTGTCATACCGATCCGGAATACAAACATTTGCATTCGAATACATATGGCTAATTAACAATACAGTATGTATATGTTTTCATAAAGTTTCTACATAAAATTTTCCAAGCACTCGTAATTCTCATAAATGAGCTAGTATAATAAATGAAATATACCTATAGCATAACATTTTTTCTGATTAAATGAAAAAAGTATAATATTAATTTCCTGGAGACAATTTTGCACTTATCAGGATTGCCACAGAAAACCGGGAAAAGTTAGGGAAATAAAAATTGATCAAGGAAACTGGGAAAAGTCAGGACTCTTTGAAGGACTCTTCTTAATCTTCTCTATTTCTCCTTTACACGTTTTATGTATAAAGCGTCTCCCTTCTATAGCATTTTTTCCGTCTCGGTTATCTTAATTCCTTTCCTTTTGATAATCTTTTTTAATTTTTCGCTAATCATTTAATATTTCTGTTGCAACTTCTTTACGGCACGTGCAAAGGACATTGCATTTTTTTCGGAATTTTTTCTTGGGTTTGAATTGAAATTTACTTACATATGCGCGGGATATGGTCCGATATGTGAGATCATTGCAATACGTGCCCAATTCTTGCCACGTTTACCATCGAGCTTGTCTCGTGAGATTAGCATCTAGCAAGCCGATAAGTCGATTAACGCCGATTAATCACGGTTAACGCACGAGAGATGCGAGCAAATATATACCGCCCCAGAAAATGGATTGTCTCGCGTTACGTCTATCAGCCATGTGATTTACGCACTTGGTGTGACACAAACTATTGTGGTTCGCAGAGTATTGTGGTTATAAAGGTTTCGTCGACGTTAGACACGCGTTAAACGTGATACGAGAAGCCGGTCGTATTCGCAACGATCTCATTATCAGTCGCGTTGATGTAGTAAATTATCACTTCGCGCAATATGCACTGTCTCTTGCATGTGCCATAAAGAAGATGCAGTGATTCACGAGATGATAAGATTTATCCGAAGAGATGAAGATGCGAAAAATTTACTACAGGAGGAAAATTGAAGAAGAAAGTTATAATAGGGAAATCAAAAGCTAGTTCTTAACGCCTATAGAATAGGAAAAAGAATAACGTTGGAATGATTATTTATTTTTAACGATCGTGCATTTTAAACATTTTCGAAGATTTTTCTCAATTTTTCCTTCACACGTTACGTTTGGAGGCTTCTTACCGCATTTTTTCTGTCTGGGCTATCTTAATTTCTTTCTTTTTGATAATCTTCTTTAATTCTTCGTTAATTATTTAATATTTCTGTTGCAGTTTCTTTACGGCACGTGCAAGCTGTATTATTTATTAATTAGGTATTATGTACTCTAGCTCGAGTTTTAGACAAATGATTAATTTCTTTAAATTTAGCAGTACACATAAATTAAATAAAAGTACAAACAATCTAAATTATAAATATTACATTAATATAATAAACTGTTATGTACAGGGTGGGTTTTAAATATCTAATGGTTTTCAAAATGAAATAGCAATACGATTGATACGACATATAAATAAATTTAAATAATAATTTCTTTTTATATAACAATAAGAAATAGAATATCATTTGAATATATTTGAGTATATTTTAATATGACTGATTGTGAGAGAATTTAGCAGAAACAGCTGTTCAATAAGCGCTCAATTATTCTTTATTATATTGTATTTAGTTTCTATACCTACTGTTAGAGTGAAGAACTAAAAACAAGAATCAATCATATTAAAGAAATCAGTAAGCGGTTCACATTCACATTTATTAAATAAAAATATTAGCATTATACATATCATTAGATTAAATAAAAATGCGGACGCAATAGATATGTGGACCGAGCATTCCAATAAAATTGTCTGTGTTGATTTAGAAAGAGAGAAAGAGCTTGGTGTGTATTGACCTTTCTTTAAAATATTAGTAATGGGGATAATAATATGATAATATTAAATAGTCCTGCCTCTTAACACAAAACGAGTTAAAAAGGCTATTACTTTTCAATATCGCGTTCTCTTTCTGAGCGAATATAAATATTAAGATTATTTAAAATAGACAGCGCACAGTCTACATATATTATTTCACAATCGCATAAACGATTTAATTTGTATCGAAAAGATTAATAGTTATGATTTTTAAGAAAAAAATTGATTTAAATGCACTTTTACATTTTATTTTATTGCATAATAACATAAGTACAAATTATATCAATAATTATAGTATCTAAAAATATTCTATCTTTTTTAAAAAGGTGTTTTCAAATATTTAGTAATTTCAAATATTAAGTAATTTTATAAATGATTAACATTTTCTATTCTTGCCGTGCTGTCCTTGTTGAGCAATTATCTACTAGCATTCTTTTTTTTCGTATCCTCACTAGCCTTTGCAAGTATCATTTCCCATTGTTCAGGTTCATTTTCTACAAACCAATTCTGCAGCATAAGTAGTAGTTCCTTTTGTTTTTCAGTACATTTCTTACATTTGGTTTGGATAGATTCATTCGCAATTCCTAAAATCAAATTGCCATATTTTGGTTTTAATTCATAGTAAGCATAAAATTCTCTTTCCTTTCTTCTTTCTCTAATTTTTCCTTTGTTTTAATTAACAAGTATATATGTGAAATTTTGAAAAATTAAGTTTGAAGCAATAAAAATTTAATAAGCCGATATTTATGCAAATTTTACAAAAGTAAAATTAAAAAATAAGCCTTTTTCTTTATATTTTTAAGAAATTAGAAAACTTATCCCCAAAAATTAAACGTTACAATAATCTTTGAACTCGTCTCTAATGAAAAGCAATGTCCTATGATAGGGGATGTCTACATCTAAATTGCGTTCGAATGACACAATCTTCGCGCAATTTAATGTCAGAGTTTAGAATAGAAAAAGTTCAAAATATGTTATTATTATAATTTTCGCAATTTTTTAGTTCTTTAATTATTTATCTTTTTGATTTTTTAATTTTTATATTTTCTTATATTTTTCAAATGAAAAAATGTTTTCTCGAAATTAATTGAAAAACATTATTTATTTTAATATTTTTATTTATGCTTATTGCCAGAAATTTCTTATACAAGTATTAATTAGTTTAAAGCTATTGATATGTATAAATTGTTGACAACTTAATTGCTAATTAATTAAAGTTTGTCGTAAAAATTTATTCGTTGGAATACTCCGAGTATAAGTGTACCTCGAAAGAACTTCGCATCTTCTGTCAGACATAACTCCTTTTGCAAATAACAATTGAAATATTCAATTCGTAATTTATCGTTTTGAAGGATACTTGTGAGATCAATGTTGTCATATTTATCTGAATATAATTCTTCCGCTAAAACGCACAACAGTGTTATACTGATAATCGTCACAACGTAGCTTAATTGAACCATATCTTCTGTTATTTTCACACTAACTCGTGAGAGAAACTGAATGGTCAATCAAATGCGTATATTATTTATACCTAGCATAAAATAAAAAAATTGACATTTACAGAAGATGAATGTTATAATATAAGATAGCTTGCCTCATTAATGCAATGGGAAAAAGTCGACAGTTATATATATTTAAATTATTCTTTCAATTTGAAATGATAATATAAATTTAGATGAAATTTGAATATATATTATACGATATTATACAATATATATTCTGTAGCTAATAACAATGCAAATAACGAAAATAGTCTCATAAAATGTCCAAGTAATTCCAAGTAATTTTCTGGCATTAATAATTCTCATAAATATAATATAGTGTTTCCTGTATATAATAACTTTATCTTTTATTTATTTATTAGGTGTACAAATAAGTTTCCGCCGTTTTAAATTAAGCATTTATTGTGAAAGAACGATAATGTTTTATTGATGTAAGTCAAAATGTAAGTGCAAGTTCTTTTTGCGTTTGGCACGATCTTCATTCAATAATGCTTTCAATTCCGCGTCTTCGTACACTTTCGGCCTTCCGCTACGTTCTTTGTCTTCGACATCAAATTCACCGTTCTTAAATTTTTGAAATCATTCACGACAACTTCTCTTACTTAAGGCAGCCTCACCATATGCTTCTACAAGCAATCGATGAGCCTCAGCTGCAGATTTCTTCAAATTAAAGTAGTAAATCGAAAGTTCCCGCAAATGACGCTTATTCGGCTCAAAACTCGGCATTTTCGCACAAAAAAAAATATATGATGCTGATACAAAATCGCTAGTACTTCAAGGTTATGTTATTGACAGATGTCCAACCTTATAATATAATGTTTTACATCAGACAATTTTAACCATAGCTTGCTAGTGGCGCCGTCTTTTGTCAAATGGCGGAAACTTATTTGTACACTTGATAATATAAAATAACAATTGTTGCAAAGATGTTATTTATTGTAACAAATATTTAGTAGCAATAGAACCATTTCTTTTCGAATCTTAGATTGTTGGACATAGCTTAAGGGTGAGATATTTATACGTTTTTGTCATACGATAAATTTTTCAAGCTTATTGATTAATTATAAGATAGAGAGATTCGAGAATCTCTCTGTCTGCAATCATACGCATGAAATATTGTATTAGCCTTGGACTAGTTTTCTCTAAAACAATGTTTAAAATAATTTTTTTTTTTCTGAAATGTATATGTATTCGATTGACACAAACGATGAACATTCTCGAGAGTTCGTTACTTGTTTTATTTGAAATAAAAGAATATCTATTTTTCTGCAATTTGTTTAATTATTTTTATTATACAAGTCTCAAGGATATATCACACGTATAACCCTTGCAAAGAAAATTAAATTTGGAAAATGTGTTTAATATTTACACTTTAAATAAACTATATTAGAGCACAAATTAAAAAAAATATTAATTATTAAAATAACTTATGACCCAGATAGTAAACTGTCATTAAATTTGTCATTTTATTTTTAAATAATCTAATTTAGAGTAATCTGTAATTTTTTCATAATTTTTAAAATAATTTTATTATTTTGAAAATATGTATAAAACATCCTTAAATGGAAAAATGTATATATAGTCCGGATATATAAATATGCGATTACACCTCTGATTGCGAATAAAAATTATATTGTTCATGTGTTGCAAGCATTAATCTTTTCCATTCATTAAATCGAGATAATCAAGCGATTATATCATGAATCACATTGTACATCGGAAATAAGGAAAATATACTTTATGCAATTATGTATTATATAAAACAGTTAGTTTTTTTTTTATAACACAACATATATTACTGTTCTATAAATGGTTGCGTTCAGCAGAAAAAGCAGTTTTGCAACTGTTGTAAAATTCTTTAATACGATTGGTCTTGCCCTTAAATCATCATTGGATCATCTAAATGTATAAACTAATCATATTGAAGAATTACAATAGTTGCAAAGTTCCTTTTTCTGCTGAACGCAGTCAATTCTTCTATTCGAACGTGTCGATAAATAAACCATTGCCAACTGAGGCAAGTATTTTTCAACAAATTATTCGCAGATTTAAGGTTCTCATTAACATCAGATTAATTAGATTATTAATATTCTTATAAAGATGCTTATTAGCATAAAAACTGCTTATCAATTTAATAAATCAATTTAATAATACTACTTTATTTCCGTTCATGATTACATTTTAAAATCGAAAAATAATATATATATATATATAAATTTACATAGAAATATTAATCACTAAGATCCGCTTTGACCGAATATAGGATTTCATTTATTTAATTAAATTTATTTTTATTGGTCCAAATCCTTGTTATAATTGTTCACTGATGTGTATTAGATGAATTGTTGATTAATGTTACTAAATGTCAATTGAACATTTGCCGTTTTATAAGCACACTATTGTCATTTTGATACTTTATTTATTATAATATTACATAAACAACAATATTCCATTTTTAATTTCACAATTTTTTAATAATATTTTTATAAAGGCACTATATGTCACGTTTTAATATCAAATTATTATTGATGCACACGTAGCAACTGTCCTTGCAAAACAAACGCCTTGGCAATATTAATCAGCAGTCTATGTAATATATGTATATCAGTGGTACAGATTTTTTTGCGTGTTCTCTCGACAATATTTCTTTTATCATGTTGTGAAATTTACGATAACTGAAACAATGAAGTAGCGCATAACATATGCCATTTAGTTCATTTTTTATTTGTGATATATACATATCGTAAAAATTGTATTGTTCATATCGCAAACATTATAAAGCAAACATTAAAACTATTATACAATTGTGTAAGCATAATTGTCAGTGATTGTAGTTATAAAAATTGATCAATCACGATTAAATATTCTTCTCGTATTTTTGGCTGGTGAATTTTTATAACTACACAATCACTTACAACTATGCTTACGCACTTGTAGAATAGGCTTTATTTAAAATATGCTTTAGGGATACTTTATTTAACTATTCAATTAATACAATTTAAATTCAAGTTGTTTAATAAATTATTGATTTTATTTTGATTTAACTGATAATAACATAATTTTATTGATTTTAATATTCTTATTTATTTTAAAATAGTATGAACACATTATAGAATACATTATAGAACACAGCAAGCAAAACAATAACATGGTTAATTTGATATTTGAATTATTTTTTACAATAAATTTTATACATGCATTATTTTCGTCAAATTTAAAGATTGATATTCATAAAGTTTGTTTTTATAATACAGTCCTGTGATTGATTAATGATACCTTAAAATATTATAAACCAATCACAAAGCCGTTTTGGCATCTTAAAGACTTAAATTACTGTATTACTGTTACAGTTATAAAAAAAAAGTACCAATCTGTTATCAAAAGAAACTAACTATAATAGTAATGGCATTACAAATAACGAATTATTTTCAATCTCAGTCAAAAAGATTAATGGTTTTCACGAAAAAAGTGTAAATTAAATATACTTATACATTTTATTTCATGATTTCTATACATTTTATAGCATAAAACTACAATAGAAGCATGGATTACACTAATAATTATACCATCTTGAAATTTCTATGTTGTCTAAAGAGAGTTTCTAAATATAAAACATTCAATAACTTTATATGATTAACATTTTTAATTCTTTCTGCAATTATAAACCAGCACTCTTCTTTATTATCGTATTTCAGCAATTATAAACCAGCATTCTTCTTTTTCATATCCTCAGCAGATTTTGCGACAAGAGCTTCCCATTGTTCAGGTTTATTTTGTGTAAACCAATTCTTCGTCTCAGTAAACATTTCTTTTTGTTTTTCAGTACATTTTTTACAATTAGTTTGGATAATTTCACTCATAACTCCTGAAATTAAATAAAGAAAGCTCCTAATATATTGGTTTTTATAGCAAACGTAAAATTCTCTCTTCTTTCTCTATTTTTTCCTTCATTATAATTAACAAATATGTATGGAATATTGAAAAATTACATTTGAAATAAAAAAACCGATATTTATGCAGTTTTTACAAAAATATATAAAATTAAAATATAATTCTCTTTCGTCATATTTTAAGATAATTAGAAAATTTATCCAAAAATTAACGTTACAATAACTTTTGATTGTCTTAAATAAAACTTAATATTTCTTATGCATGAGTATATATGGGATGTTTATTTTTAAATTGCGTTTGAATAACGTAATTTTTGCGCAATTTAGTACCAGTTTTTAGAAAAAAATTTGAAATATTATATGTTATTATTTCAAATTTTCTTGCAACTTTCAAATTTTTTTTTATTATATGTGTATATTTTTGATTAATATACTTCTGATAGAAAATATATTTTTCCCAAATTAAATGAAAAATATTTATTTATTCGGTTATTTTCTTTGTTTAAGCTTATCATTAAAAATTTCTTATACAACATTAATTATTCTGAAACTACTGATATATATGTATAAACTTGGCAACTTGATTTCTAATTTCTTGAGAGAGATTAAAGAATTTATTATAAAAATTTATTCGTTGAAACACTCTAAGTGTAAGTATACCTTGAAAGAATTTCGCGTCTTCTGTCGGGCATGGGCTCTTTTCCATATAACAATTGTAATATTCTTCTCGCAATTTGTTATTTTAAAGGATACTTGAGACGTCAATATTGTCGAATCGATCGGAGTAAAGTTCTTCCGCCAGAACGCACATCAGTGCAATTCCGATAAGCACGATGTAGCTTAATCGAGCCATCATTTCTCCTATTTTTGCACTAACTTTTAAGAAACTGAACAATTGCTCAAATGTGCATCTTATTTATACACTCGAGATAAAAACATTGACGTGTAAGAATGACGAATACCTTGTAGTATTAAAGTAGCTTGTCTTATTGCATAATAAGAAAAAATCAACTGCGATAGTGTCTTAAATTATCTTCTCAGTCATACAGATAATAAATTTGAGTATATGTGGTTAATAGCAATGTAATAACGTAAATGTTTTCATGAAGTTTCTATTCCAGGTAATAATTTTTAATGCTTATAAGCGGAATAAAATTAACAGAATTAATTCTAATTATTGTTTTTATTTGTAAAAAATTCCAAGGAAATAAATTTATTGCTCTGTAAGTTTTCTTAAAAAATAATGTTCCTCTAAAGGAACATTAAGTTAGCGGAACATAATATATATGTATAATAACGAAATTGTACTTAATAATAATGTTAAGGAATGTTGTTGCTAATTGTTGTTTTTGTCGAAACATTTAAATTTTGTTGATTGTGAAATAAATGTAACAACGAAAAACGTCTCAGCGTGCAGACGATTGAAACAGTAAAATACCAGAAAAAATTTGTTTCTCTCTTTGATATTAAGGTCTTAATCTCTGGATACGTTGAGAGCAATAAATTCAGACAATATCTCAATATCAATTTTAAGTAATTTTTTGCTGGCACTTTAGTATCGCTGTTTTTCACATATTTTGCAAATAACAAATTCGAAACTTATATATTTTAAGAGCAACAAATTATGCTAACTTATAAGATGTGGTCCTGCGATGAGAAACTAATCTAAAGTAGATATTCTTGATATAACATGGTATTATTGTTCCGGGAGAAATATGATTACCTGTTAAGGATACGTTTGCTAAGGATACGTCTTAATATTAATCATTGATAAATATGTACAAAAACATTAATGATAAAGAAAAATAAGTTAAAACGCTCACAAAATATTTACACACATACTTATATTCATAAATTATGTTATATATTATATTAGGTGTTGGAATTAATTCGTAGCGTTTTTAATGAAAGAATGTTATTTATTTCACATGAGCATTAAAAAATACATTAATGAAAGTACTTCCCATCACTTGTAAAACGCTACGAATTAATTCCAACACCTAATACATCACGTTATTTAAATATTTTTATTCATTATTGCATATTTGTATGCATTACATTACCTATTTTGCGAAATCGAATCGTTTTTTGTTTTGGAAAAAATTTCAGTTGATTAGACAAAGAGATAATGTTTCATGAAAAATTAAGTTAACAGTCAAAAATTGACAGTGAAAATTCACGTGAAATATTAAATTAAATATGCATGTGTATATTAAGGTGACTATGTGCTATTAATTGTGAGAGAATAATAATATATATTCTGATTTTATATAAAAATTATGTTTTCTTTCTTAAGTGTGTTTGTCAAACAAGGATGTTGCAAATAAATATCCTAATTTGTATTTGATAAAAGTAACGGTTACTGTTTTCAAGCAACACAAGTGAAATTAATTACACTTTTATTTTATTATTAATATTTATAACATAATACTACATAATACTACAATACAAACATTAATTGTATTAATAATTATAGAATTTAGAAATTTCTTTGTTTTCTAAAGAGATGTTTCCGAATATAAAAGCTTTAGTGATTTTATAAATAATTAATTCATTTTCTATTTTTTTTCTGTGCTTTCCTCGTTTGAGTTATTTCAGCAGTTGTTAGCAATTATGCATTCTGGTTCTTCTTTTTTAGATTTTCAATAGTCTTTGCGATAAAAGCTTCCCATTGTTTAGGTTTATTTTTTGTGTACCAATCCACTATTGAGTTCATTATTTCCTTTTGTCTTTCAGTACATCTCTTACATTTAGTTTGGAGAGCTTCGCTGGCAATCTCTAAAATCAAACCAAACAAAGCTCTTGACATATTGATTTTAATTCATAGTAAGCATAAAAATTCTCTTTCCTCTCTTTCTTTCTTCATCTTTTTTCTAATTAACACGTATAATGTATGTAGAATATTGAAAAATTAAGTTAGAAACAAAAAATATTTGACAAATTGATATGTATGCAATTTTTACAAAAAATAAGATCCAGAACTTTCTATATTTTTAAGAAATCAGAAAAATTTAGTCAAAAAACTACGATGTATATTATAAAAAATCTATGATCCGAATGAGAAGATAGGTACGTAATATCGTAATATTCTCATATATATATATATTAAATGTTTGCTTATATTATTATTTCATTACATTTAATTATTTAAATAATGCAATCTTTGAACAACTTTGTGTCAATTTTTAGGAAAAATTTAAAATATGTCATTATTTCACTTATTGCAACTTTAAAAATTTTTTATTATGTGTATATCTTTTTGATTAAGTCTTCCGAATGAAAATATATTCTTCTCAAATTAAATAACAAATATTTATTTGGTAGTTTTTATGTCTATCCTTACCGTTAAAAGTACTTTATTTATACAGTCATTAATTATTTTAAAACTATTAATACATATAGATTGTTGAGAAATAATGGATTTTTAAGTGTTTAAAGAATCTGTCGTGAAAATTTATTTATTGAAATATTTTGTGAATTAGTATACCTTTGAAGAACTTCGCATCTGCTGTTACACATGGTGCTGTTTCCATAAAACAATTGTAGTATTGATCTCGCAATTTATCATTCTGAAGTATATCCTCAGCGTCAATTTGGTCGTATCGATCAGAGTAGAGTTCTTCCGCCGAAACGCACAACAGTGCAATACTGATGATCGTCATAAAGTAGCTAAATCGAGCCATCGTTTCTTCTAGTTTCATATTAACTTATGAGACTGAGCGATCGTTTAAATGTGCTTATCTTTTTATACATTTGACACGAGATAAAAAAAGTATCACGTGTAAGATGATGAATTATAGTATATACCTGGTAGTAATATGAATTGCATGTCTCTGATTGCTAATAAAAAAATTTACTGTGTTAATTATCTTAACCAACTTATTTTTTATTGATCATGCATTATATAAATGTTTTCCCTAACTCGTTAGTTTCTAGAAATTTCCATATATTAATAATTCTTATACATGTAGTATAATATTTCTTGGAGTCAACTTTGCATTTGTTTTAATATAAAATAATATGTTATGATGAGAGAGAGAGAGAGAGAGAGAGAGAGAGAGAGAGAGAGAGAGAGAGAGAAATTTTATTTATTGTAACAAATATGCTAAAATTAGAATTGAACTTTTTGGCAATAGAATAATTTCTATTCAAATTTTAAATTTATCGAATGTCTCTAAGATTGTAGCTTTCTTAAAATATTTTAAATGACTATCTTTTCTTTAAAATATGTCCACACCCAAACAATTTCAAATATTATTTGAATCAGGTAAAGAAACAAGGATTAGATACAGATATTTTATACACATATATTAAAAAATAAAATCTTTTTCATTCTATTTGCAATGATTATTATTTTCAATGATTATTATTTAGAGCAAATAAAAATGTTTATAGAATTATTAGTTTTAAGAATATCCCGATTCTGAATTTATTGCTCATTGTTTAAAAAAATCAACTTATATAGTGTGGCGGTGCTAGCTCGCACACAAGAGTAAAGTACATTAATTGACCAGTTTTGGTCTTAAAATGTTTCTAGAATTATTTGATTATGTACTAGACAAAAACATAAATTATTTTTGACACAAGAAATCTTACGAACTTGATTATATTATATTCAATCTTACATTAGATCTGTTTTTTTTTTTAATAATTCTTGCACTATTTATCTTTCCTTTTTTTCCCTCTATATTTTTGTCATTCTTTATTACTTTAAAAAAATTTATAATGGCTTATATTATGATTATTGAATAATTTTAAATATTCTGTAAGTAGAACAAAATTGAATAGAAAATATACATTATGTCAAAGTTTAGCAAATGTTTTTAACATTATTTATTTATTAAAACTCCATTATATATAATAAAAAAAATGTCTAAATGCAATTTCTAAGGAAAAATTGATCAAATTATTTAACAGATATCTTTTATTATCTCTTCTTTTTGCACATTTTTTGTCTTACGCATTACAAAGAGTTTTAAGAAGAATGTACAAAATATGTTGTAATTATTTTCTAGAACATTTGCTAGATATATTTTTTTTATTTGATACATGAATTGCGTGTTTTACGTTTTACATTGCGTGTTGCATTTTGCACGTTTCGCATTTCGCGATCGAGTCCTTCACTGCTTGAGCGGAATAGTTCTTTCTTCATATTCCATAGGTCTGTTTTTTTTTGCTACACTTTCTGAATTAGTACACTAGTGCAATAAGTTGAAGTGAAACAAATATATGTTTATGTCACTTTAACTCATTGCACCGGTTCAGAGTGTAGCAATAAAAAACGGACCTATGGAATATGAAGAGAGAATTCCGCTCTAACAATGAAGGACTCGATCGCGAAATGCGAAACGTGCAAAAATGTAACACGCAATGTAAAACGTAAAACACGCAATTCGTGCATCAAATAAAAGAAAATATCTAACAAATGTTCTAGGAAAAACAAACCTCATATTATACATACATATACCACGTGTTTTATTTTAATTACTCCAGGCAAATTCTATATCTCGGAAAATAGATACGATATAAATAGATACGATAGAAGATACGAAAAAATGTTTCAGATAAAAGTTGCATGGTTTCGAGCTCTATAAAGCTAGCAGGACCAAATCAGTCAAATCGGACCTCTCGAAATTTTTAGTATTCATTTTGTACTAAATTGTACAAAATCTATTAATGATACTTTTGTATCGTATACGATTTCGAAAAAAATCATGGCACTGTTGACTTAATATTAAGCTGGCAGGACCAATTCCAAATAAAAGAAAAAAAGAAAAAATATTAGAGATCAATATGATTGAATTTGTACTATTTTATATTGCCAAAAACAATTCTATATTATATGTCATTTCAAAGAAAACAGTAACGGTGTAGTTTAATATTTAATATTTAATATTTAATAGTTTAATATTTAAGCTGGCAGGACCGTAAAGAAAATAACACAGGGCAAAAATTAACACGATTGAATTTGTATTAATTTATATATACCATTAAAAATAAGTTAATATTTTACATGTTCTCTCTTTAAATGACTTTATTAGTTTTTATTTATAATACTTATAATTTATGAGATATTCCACGTCAAACCGGGCACCTTTAACATCATTTTATTTTTTTTTAAATTTGCTAACATACCTCTTAGTCTACACATAAAAATATGAGATAAGTTTTCCGTGAAAAAAATTTTAATGAAATTTTATTGAGTAAGTTCATAAATTGTAAGTTTCATAAATTTATAAAAAACGTCGCTCATGCGAACATTTAAATTGTTATATCGTTGAAATCATTAGGCGTATAAAAATGCAAAATTATCCGAAATTAAAATCAGACTTTTAATCTCGGAAAATTTTGCATTTTTTTTTTATTTTCTGATATTACTAGTCATTAGTTTCCTGATATTCAATTAATTATTAGCAAGGATGCACTGGCACTCCTTTAAGAATATCAGATGAAGTGTAGTACATAATTATTTGTATGCATGTGCTCTAATATTATACATTTATAAACATGAGAATAATTATTATATTGTTATTATATAAAAACTATCATCTTCTTTTATGCGTATTTATTAAATAAGGATACTGCAAAAGTAATAGTATCGACCAAATTAATGATTATAATTTTCAAGAAGATGAAGTCTCAATTGTTCTTCATTTTATTTCCAATATCTATAACATAATACACACACACACACACACACACTCACACACACGCACGCACACACACACGCACGCACACACTATAATACAATTGATTCCAATAATAATTATAGTATCTAGACATTTTTTGTTTTCTAAAGAAATATTTTTGAATATAAAAGTAGCTTCAGTAATTTTGTAGATGGTTTGGCATTTTTTATTTTTTCCATGTTCTCATTATTTGAGTTATTTCAGCAGTTATTAATAATTATGCATCTTCGTTTTTCTTTTTTAGATTGTCAATAGTCTTTGCGATGAAAGCTTTCCATTGTTCAGATCTATTTTTTGTATACCAATCCATTATTAAATTCAATGTTTCCTTTTGTTTTACATCTCCTACATTCATCTTGGAGAGCTTCGCTGGCAATCTCTGAAATTAAATTACAAAATTCTTGACATATTGGTTTTAATTAATTTATTGCATAAAATTTTCTTTTTTTCCTTTTTTTCTTTTTTCATCTTTTTTCTAATTAACATGTATGGAATATTGGAAAATTAAGTAGAAGCAAGAAATATTTTTGAAGTTGAGATCTATGCGATTTTTATAAAAAATAATAATTTCCTCTCGAGATGACCTCTTTTGTCATATTTTTAAGAAGATAAAAAATTTATTCAAAACTCAACAATACAAAAATCAGTGATTGTCTTGAAAGATACGTAATATTTATCTTGCATATGTATTACATACTTCATTACTTTATAATGCAATCTTCGAGCAATTTAATAGGAAGAATTTTGTAGGAAGAATTTGAATATGTATTCAATTTTAGTAACTTTCGATTTTTTAGTTATATGTATATTTTTTATTAAGGCTTCTATTCTGTACTTTTTAATGGCAGTAATGATATTGTTATGTCGTTGTGCAACTTTTTTTGTGAAACCTACCCAAAGATATTGTAATGATATCGTCATTAAGAGTTATATAGAATAGGGGTCTAATGGATCATTTCTAATTAGAATCGTAAAGCTCGTAAAACTTGTAAGAACGACTAGTATTCTAATTTTCTGTGTATGTATCATAAGATTATTTGTAAATATCTATGATTTCTTATAAATTTTGTGACTAGTAAGAAGCTGTCTGTAAAAATATAAAGTATAAACATTTAAAAATTTTTACCAGTCTTACAAGAATATGTTATGAGCCTTACGATTTACTTAGAATTTAGGCATTAGTCTCTTGAATAAAAATGTTTTTCCCAAATTAAGTAAAAAATATTTGATAATTTTTTTATTTATTTTTATTGTTAGAAGTTCCTTATACGGTCATTAATTATTTCAAAACTACTAATACATATAGATTGTTGAGAAATACTTGATTCTAAGTGATTAAAGAGTCTGTTGTGAAAATTTATTCATTGAAATATTTTGTGCATAAAAGTATATCTTTGAAGAATTTCGCATCTGCTGTTATGCATGGCGCCATTTCAAACAATTGTAATATTGATCTCGCAATCTATCGTTCTGAAGAATACTCTTGACGTCAATGTGGTCGTACTGATTGAAGTAGAATTCTTCTGCCAGAACATATGCGATATTGATGATCGCTACAATGTAGCTAAATTGAGTTATCGTTTCTTTTACTTTTACACTAATACATGAGATACTGGACAACCGATCAAATGTGTTTCTTATTTATACACTTAATACAAGATAAAAAATTAACATGTGTAAGATGACGAAAACTCTGATTTATAAATCGCTTTCCTTGGATTGTCAATGAAAAAAGTAACCATTGTAATTATCATAAATTATTCTTTATTATATAAGTAATGCATTATACATATAAAAGATAGAACATTTTGATTATCCCGGAAATGTTTAATGTTTACAAAACCTGTTTTCTACGTTTAATGAAATTTCCAAGCATTAAAATAATTTTCATAATATAATATTTTTTATAGTCAATTTTGCACTTATTTTAAAATAAAATAACATATTGCGATAATGTTATTTATTATAACAAATATGCTATAATTAGACTTAACTTTTCGGCGATAGGGATCAATTCTTTGAACGGATCTGTCTTGTGAGAT